GTCCTCCACGCTGCTGGCGTTGACGATGACATCGACACCCTGCGAGCGGGAGCAAGAAGCCATCAGGGTTCAGGGTCGGTGCCCTGGTGGCATCGTTCCCCTCCCCAGCATCACCTACCTGGAAGAACTCTGCAATCTTGGCTACGTGGCTGGCGCAGGCACACTTGCGGGCATCTGGCACGTCCTCACCCACCTGTGGCAGCCAAGGAGGGGGCTGAGCCAGGAGGGCACCAGGGGGACCCCCACCCTGCTGACCACCACAGAGCAGTGGGACTGTGGGGCACCCACACCCCTCTGGCCACTGCCAACTCCTTCCTCACGCCCGGCCATGCCCCCGTGGGCACAGCACAGCTCCCCTTCAGCATGGCCCCCACACTCACCCAGTTGACGAGGACATATTTGGGGAGCACGGCCTGGGGGTCCTTGACGCTGCAGAAGCCATACATCACCTTCTGAATCTCGAAGTGGCCGGAGAGCTCCAGCAAACCTCCACCTGGCACACCACTGTTAGCCCATGTCCACCCGGCACCAGGAATGGGTGTCAGGAAAAACACTGGCAGAGCTAGAGGAGGGGGCAGAGGACCTTACCTCCCGATGCTGCCAACTTCAGGTCATCAGAGCCATCCTCGTATGTGTAGAGGGCCCTGGGGAGACAGTGTGGGTGAATCACAGCTCCAGGAGGTGTGGGGTGGTTTCCATCCCGCTCACACTGAGGTCAGGACAGGTCCTGGGGGACTAGCTGGGTGTCCCCAAGCTACCACACAGACACTGCAACCCATTGTCCATTGCCATTGTCAAGGGACAGGCCGCCAAGCAGGACATGGGGCAGGGCCTATTCCCTCACCCTTGGTTGGCAGCCGTGGAGCAGGGTCCCAAGTTTGGGGACAGGATGGTCATTTGGGCAGAAGGACCCACTGACTGCCATGCCACAAGCCACCAGAGCCTCACAGCTCCTTGCACACCCATCCCTGTCCCGCCACGACCCTGCCAGCTACTGACCAGGTTTGGGGACGGCCCTCTGCCCCTGGTAGGGACCCAGGGCCACTCACGTGCCTGGCTGCGTGAGCTGCCAGCCCAGCAGGCACCAGGCCGGGGGAGGACGCCGGAGCACCAGCAGCAGCAAATCAATGTGCCGCCGGGGTGTGATGGGGCCGTCATGGAGACTGTTCCTTGGAAACCATTCCCAGCCGATGGGAAACCCCCTGTCGCTCCCACCGTGCTCTGACCAGGCCCCCCCAGAGCTCTGTGGGGACCCCCACCAGCCTGCACCTCCCCAGGGGCACACAGCCAGCGATGGAGGGGGAGCCACGCATGCCAAATTGGTCCAGGGCGGGTGGGCGAGGGGACGGATGTCGCTAGGCAACCAGCATCCTCCGTCACCATGGCA